CTACGTCAAAAGTCGCAAATATGCGCAAAATTTTCCAGATTTGAATTCTTGTATAGCTAAAAGTCGGAGGAATACCGAGGAACAATGTTTTTGTCCATAAAAAAGTAGTTAGCATTTATAAAGTGTCATTTTTGTCTGCTATTTTGTCTAGTAGGTGCTATATTTTCATACGAACCTACAATAAAAATAATTAAAACAAAAGTTATAAGAAAAACACTTTGCTTTAGTGAACAAAAATCTCAATCAGTTTTAGTTGAATAAAACTCGTCTGACTTTTGTTGCTTTTATTCTGTATAATACTACCAATTTCGTACAAGGTTATAATGAATTTTTCTTAGGCAAATATCATTTTTTCCGCCGAAATACCACTTTGGTTAACTACAATGAATTGTTTGCTTTTTTCCAAGTTTTGTATGCGTAGGCAATTAAAAATCATTCGATTACGTGAAGACTTTTTCCGCGAGACTTTTGATGTTTACATCAAGACTCAATTCATTGAACGTCAAGGCGCATGTATACTTATGTACTTCAAATACAAAACAAGTAGCGTCTAAAAATACTTAAGTAAATACATACATACATACAAATAAGTATACATACATACATAATTTCAATATTTTCTGTATATTTTTGTAATCGTTGTGATAAACACTTAAAGTGTAATTCTGTTCAGTTGAGCTCCTTTCCAAAGCGTAAGTGTACAAAAGGAACTTAAAAATGCACTCACTGATAACTGAATGACTTGATGATTTTATTTTTATTTTTTTGAATTTTATTGTCTGGTGGTAGATAGCAAGCTGTTGATAAGGAAACTCCATTAGGAATGAATTGGTGTTAAGCGACAATTAAAAGACACTGTGAGCTTTTGATTTCTTTTCTTATTGTTAAATGCAAGATGAATATTTTTTCATATACAAATATAAACATATGTATGTATGATTTATTTTGGAACGAGCTTCCGTCACCCCTTGTCAAGTTTGACAGGCAAACCAAACTTGTCTTAAAGGTGAAAAGGTGCCAAGTCCACTTTTTTGCAAAATTTACTATTAGACGCAGAATGACAGATAATGCGAAACTACGTCGATTCTTCGTCTCCCCTGAACAATTTCAAAAAATGGATTTGCCACCTTTTCACGTTTAGGTAACGATTGCTTTTTCTTTTCCGTCGTATTTTGTCATTTTTCG